AATATCAAAAATTGAATGTAAACATGGTCGTTGGCAAAATATTCGACCACAATGTATTGAAGCTATGTGTCGACATCCAGTATTAGATGGTTTTAATGGTTATGTTTTAAGTTCAAATTCAATATTTCCATCTGGTGAAGGTACAGGTCTTACATGTAATAGTAGTAGTAGTATACATTTTGATCTTATACCAATGATTGATTATGTTGTATGTGATAATTATGGTATATGGAAACCAATATTACCAAAATGTTATGGTAGATTTTTTTCTTTATTATTTAATGAAGATTTTCGAATGATTTTCTTCTTGTTCTTGTCTTTTTTTTTTTTTTTTAGCAAAATGTCGTTTACCAGATTTAGGAAAAAGTTTAATTGGTTATTATATAGATGATAATACTAATGAATGGTATGGAAAAGAATTACAACCAGGTACATATATTCGACATGGTTATTCGATTAAATATTTATGTCATTGTTATTCGACAACAATGCAAAATTGTTCTTTAATAAAACCATCATTTGTTCAATGTATTGATGGTGAATGGACAAATGGTGGTCCTTATTGTCGAGAAAGTATGTCTTTTATTTTTTATTTTTTTTCTATCTTATTTTTATTAATTTTCTTATACAAAAAGAAATTTCTGGAAACTGTCAAATTCCATTTGATATTCCTTATGTATTATTAAGTAACAATACACAATTAAATAATATAATAAATAACGGAGAATCATTTGATTATGAATGTATTCATGGTTATGCACGTATGACAAATGTGACATGCATACAAGGATACCTAACACCACAACCATTATGTGAACCAAGTAGATATTAAATTTAAATTTAAATTTAAATTGTTTTTTTTCTTTTTCATAGAAAATTGTACAACTCATCCTTATTGGATTAAGAATGGATATGTTAAATATCATAATAGACGACATGGTGGTCATGCTGAATATTCAGTAAAAGAATGAAAATAAATTTTTTTTTAGAATTTTGAAATGATTAAATCGAAAATTGATTTTTTTCTTTGTTGTTGTCTAGTGTCGTAATGGTTATAAATTAAGTAATCATCGAATATTACGATGTTTATTTGGCCGATGGGAATCACCATATGATCGAGATAACCTTGTACAATGTATTGCAGGCAAATAAAAGAAAAAAAATTTTTTTTTTTAATTTTATGTTCAAATTTTTCATTTAGATATTTGTTTACATCCAGGTGTTATTCGTAATGGAAAAACTTATGTTGTTAATTATGGTACATCACGTTATATACTTTCAGCTAATGTTTCATTAAGTCATGGAGCTTCATTACAATTTGAATGTGATTCTGGTTTGTTAGATTTTCATTTTTTTTTTTCGTTAATAATTTTTTTTTTTTGATTATTTTAGGTTTTATGCTTGTTGGTAATCGTGGTTCGACCTGTTTTTCAGGTAAATGGCGACCTGATCAATTACCAATATGTATTCAGGGTATTTTATTTTTCTATATATATATATATATATATTATTTGTCTTAAATGTATTTCAATCATTTAGATCGACATGTATCCTTGCAACATACATTACACAAGTTTGTCAGTAAAGGTTGATCATGTAAACAGTACGCTTGTTTGATGTTCTTGTCTTTTCATTGTTTCTTTTTTTTGTATTCATGACATTGTCCTTCAAAACTTATGTTGAACAGTTGACGCTCATATGTATGTCATCATATAATATATATATATGTCTTTTATGTCGTGATAGATGAGGAAGAAAAAAAAAGACAAAGACAATTTTTGTTGGTACTATAATTATAACAAGGATAGAATATTTTTACTTTTAATGATTCATGATAGAAAATAATTATGCTTCAATCATAATAGAATATTATTATATAATACAGATGGACAACATTGATATAAGTAAAGTTATCGATTTTATATTCTTATGACTATATTCAACAAGTACACTAAGCTTTTGGATGCAATTATATTCATAAGAAGAAAAAAGAAACTCTTCTCGCATCATTGCACGTTTGAATATTCGGTGCCAACAGCTACAATTTTTTATATATGTTTGTCTTGTATTAAGCAACTCATTTCTTGACCAGTTGTCGCATTTGTATAGTAGTCTCTAAACAATCATATACATATATATATATATATATATACATGCATTGCTCAATGTTATCATGAGTTGTTCTTTTCCTTTTTTTTTTTTGTGCTCATCTCTAAAGATTTGTTCACAGGCGATTCTTTGTCCTTTTTTTTTTCTATGTATATCTTGGTAAGACATTTGTTTCCTTATTCTCTTACAAATGATGTGTGATGATGCAAGTTTAAAATATATATCATTCATCAACTAACACATTTCTTATCGGATTGTATGTACCAAAGTAATATAGAAGATTGTAATTCAACGTGAAAGACAATCGTCGACTTTTCGACTCATCATGTACTCTCATATACGTGGTCAACTTTTTTTTTTCATTTTGATATTGTTGATCTATTATAAACATATATCCAAAGATTGTGAGTACAAGTTTATAAGAAAAAAAAAAAAGGATCCAAATATTCTTTTTCTTTTATATGAACTTTTTTTTTTCTTCTTCCGTACGTATGATATAAAAAAAATTGCTTTTTTTTTTTTGGTATATACGTCATTTTTCTAATGTATAAATTGGAATTGTTCTCTTTATTCAACACATTGGTATTCTTAACTAAACATACTGGCTTCTCTTTCTCTTTCCTTTTGCTCTCTCTCTCT